CTCCTGCCTTGGCTTCTCCCCTCTCCTTTCTTCCTCTCCCCTGTCTGGCTTCCTTCCAGGACAGTCTCTGTCTGTAAGGCAAGGAGGGGGTCTCTTGCTGTCTGATGTTCACATTCTCTTGCTCAGCGACCCCAAGAGGACTTCTCTTTCCCAGTGTCCACAGGGTGGGAATGTGATTGCCCTGCTTGGGGCCATGTTGGTTTCTGGGGTGCTGGGTACTCTGGTCAGTTAAGTTGGGGTCAGGGCCCAGCCCGTGCCTGGGAGGTGGTGGGAGGTGTTTCCAGCCATGGGGTGGTTCACGACCAGCACAAAGCCTGTTGTCCCCTGGCTTCCCCCCACTTCATCTGTGCAAACACACAGCTGGGGCTGGGGTGGAGGAGGCCAGGTTGGAAATGTCTAGTCAGGGTCCGTATCTATGCTCGGTTGCCCAGAAGTTTGTGATAAACTTATATTTATATAAGTTGCCTTTTTCTGCCTCCTACTTCTAAGTGTGCTACTGGAGCAGGTGGGCCATTGGCCTGTGTGTGTGTGGAGTCAACAGCACAGGACCCACGGGCCTCTTTGCTCAGTCGGCGCAGTTGATGTTGTGTCCCTGTCCAGATACAACAGGCTCTGTTGGACCCAGTTATTTCTGACTCACTCAGGACATGGAATCCACACTTTTAAACTCTCTTCCTGAGAGTGTACCTGGCTCTTGCCTGGGCTGGGGGAGCCCGTCCTTTTTCCTCCTCCCGCCTCCCTGAGTGTGGATGGGGGTGCAGCTAGGCTGGGCGAGGATGCGGCCTTCCAGTCGTGGTCCCCATGTCTCTGGGCCCGGCTGCCTTGACCTTCCTTTCTCAGGCTCCCGCCTCCTTTCCTGTCCTGCCCTCCTGTCACAGGGAAACATTTCTGGGTAGGGGAGAGCCCTGTGCTCCTCAAACACCATTTCTTTCCAACTCTGTGATTCTTCCCTCAGTCCTTTCCTTTCCTTAAAGACTCAGGCCTCAGGAGACCCCAGCCCCGGATACCTTAATTCTTCTCCTGTGTCTGGGTCCTTCCTTCCCTAAAGCAAAGGGAGAAATCTCCAGCAAAGAAATGGTAGGACTTCCTCTGGGAAGAACCTGCTCCAGTGGCCTCTGCTCCTGAGGGCTGGGCCGAGGCTGGATCAGCTTGCGTCCTTGCCCGGTCTGCAGGCCATGGGCGGCCGGGGATTTTTTGCCTGAGCTGATGTGCATTCTCTGTGTCTCTCCTGGAGGCCCTTCCCTCTAGTATGCTCACTCTCCAAGGGATGAGGCAAAGACATGGGATAAACATAGCATGGGGGCGTTGCCTCCCTGCCTCAGATGATCAGACTCCTAATTCCTGTCAGCCTCTGGGAGCCTGGAGCTCACACTTTACATAAGCCATAATGAACCCTTTGAGGAGTGATGGCCCAAGGCTGCTTATTTTTAACCAGACTCTGGGTGCTCTGAGCAGGGCAAGGTGTCTCGGCCTCTTGGGGGCAGGTGGACCTGAAGATGTCCCCCACGGCCTGCCCCTCCTGTGGGAGCTTTCGCACCGGTGCCCTCGCATGAGTGAATGTCTCTGAGCCTGGGGTTTGGGGTTTGGTGGTTGGTCCCTGTTTTGTCTTCCGGTGTCTGTGGGAGGGAGGGAGATACTCTGTGACTGCTGGGCACAGGAGGCTGGCCGTGCTTTCTCAAGTGTGTGAGCGCACGTCCTTTAGGAACAGCTCTGGGGTCTAATTGGGGGTTTTTGCCCAGGAAATGTCACTAGGATTTGTCGAGTTCTCTTAGGAGCCACCAGAAGGTGACAAGTCATGGGAGAACTGGCTGCTTTAACCGCTGGTTCCCCGGAACTGTGGCCAGGGCTATCATGCCTGAGTCGCTCCAGCCCCGCCCCCGTGGGGGCCTGCCCTGTAGTTCTGTGCTCCCGACCTTATCCGAAGCAGCCTCATGGTGACAGAGGGTGCCAGAGTGGGGCCTCCCTTCACACCGTGGCCAGGAGCGAAACGTGTGTTTCCTGCAATCTCACCAGATTTTCAGAGCCCGGGGTGCCATCTGAAGGAATTCTAGAAAACTGGGCCCCAGCCATGTTCACTCAGTGGTTACTCTGGGGCCCGGTGCCAGTGCACAGTGGTGATAAAACAGACCCAGACCCCCTCATGGAGCTTCCAGCCTGCAAGCAGTGAAGACAGATGTTACAAGCACACAGGAGTGTTGTAGACCTACATACACACTGTTGAGGACCTGTTCCAAGGGGACAGATGGGGTGCTTGGGGAAGCAGGAAAGCCTGTGGGGTCTGGGGACTTTTTGGGGAGGACCTGGGCTCTTTCTCCTCCTCTTCTGTCTGTGAGCTCCTCTCAAACTCCCCTCTTCACACTCCTGCTTTGTTTTCTCTAAGAGTTGCTTTACTCACCTGGTTAATTCAACAGGAGCCACAGAGATGGGGCCCGAGGGAGGGAGGCTGTCAGTGCCTGGAGAAGCACTAAGCTCTTGCCTCAGCTCCAGGGGATGGCTCTGCCAGCCCTCAGTTCCAAGGCCTTTGCAATGGCTTTCCACGGAAGAGGGGTCCCTCTCTGGCGGTCCTGAGTCCCCTCCTGGGCCACGAGTCCAGTCCTTCACCTCCCAGACCCGGCATCCAAAGCCTAAGGGACGGTGCCAGGTTTCCTTTTCAGTTTTTAATTACTCAGTGGGACTTGTTTTCCTTTATCTTCCTTAGAGGGAAAATTTGAGGCTGAGGTTTGAAAGGAAAAGGGCACCCCAGGATTTGAAGCTGGGGTTGCCGCCTGCCTGTGGCCGAAGGCAGACAGGAAATTGTGTAATGCATCTTCCCAGTGTTTATTAGCATTCCGATGAAGATGAGTGAGAGATCTGAGAGGAAATCTTCCGGAGGTGCTGATAATTTGTCCCCTGATCAATCAGTCACTCTTCCTACAAAGCACATCAGCTTTCTGATGCAGAGTCTGGGCTTAAAGAGGAGCCCCCCCGCGGGCCCCCCACCAAGCAGTGTCATCCCCAGCACTTGGCAAGGGATTTGGTAAATACCTGCTGAATGAATGCTGTCCTCATCTGTAGGCTCTGGGGGGCCATGGATGAGAATTTGGGATAACCCAGAACAACGTAAAATCATGAAGACAAGTACATGGTCTGATGGGCACTCGAGTATTTACAGGTTTTTTGCAATTCATCCGTGGTCCCTCCCAAGGACCCCAGGTGGAAAACTCCCAGCTGGTGAGCACACGGTATGCGCCCGGCACCCGCTGGGCAGCTTTGGTTCCCTCTTGTTGGAGCTCTGGACGGTGGTGCCAGGACAGCCCCAGTGCGAAGCCACGATTCTTGGCTGCCAGGGACCCAATGGATATGGGCTCTCCCTACCCCCTCTGGAAATTGGGAGGATTTGGTAAAGCTGGACCTGTCTTCTTTATGGCAACAGTTGGCTGGGCCAAGGGTCTGTGGGGCACTTCGGGTAGGACTCAGCTGCCCTGTGTGCCGTGGCTCTCGCCCCTGCCTCTGTGCCAGCAGCAGCTTCACAATCCATGACCCCGTCTCATCTGCTCTTAGAGCCGCATAAAGTACAAATGTTTGCTCTCTGAACATGCAGTGTGTATGGTGAAACACAAGCCCCCTCATGCATACACATGTATAAAACAAACACACACACACACACACACACACCCACGTCCATCTGTACGTTTTGCCCTCCCAGATATCTGCAGGGTTTCTGAATTTGTGACCCTGAGCCTCTTTCTCTTCCCAGGATTGCTGTGAGGGCTCAGTGGATGGGTGCCGGCAGACATTTCAGCACTGTGTCTGGTATCCAGCAAGTGCTCACTCAGTACTTCTGGCTAGTGTTACTAGTAAGTGGCCCCTTGGGGCCAGGGGCCTGTCCCTGAATCCAATGGCATCTTCTCCAACCTGCTCTGAATGGGTGTTGTTTGGGACTGGGGCTCCCTCTGGTGGCTGCTCTCCTCATTCACACGCAGGTTGCTTCTTGAGCTCCAGTACCGGTTCCCCTTCTATAGGGGAGAGAGGGGAGAGGTGGGTGGGAGGAGATGCTTTGCTTCCCTCATCTTTTTCTGGACCTCCTCCCTGACCTTGGTGAGGTGGGGCTCCGAAGGTGTGGGGATAGAGGAGGGCTGGAAGGTTGGGGTCCTGGCTACAGGATCTTGGGGCAGGAGGAGGTAGGGTTGGTACCTTCCCCCTCCCCCCACCCCACACCTGCCCCATTCTCTTCCCAGAGAAGTTCTGAGCCCGCGGGCTTCCGAGGCCACCTCCAGACAGGCCACGGGACAGCAGGAGGACAGCACACTGAGAGGCTCCCCAGGCTCTCATGAGGTAATTTTATTTCTTTGCGTTTTAGGTAAAAATAGTAAATACAAGATAATCATAATAAAGGTAAAAATACATCATTTGGATTTTGTTGTTGTTCTCTAAACAGTGCTACCTACAGTACAATTTTTGATTTAGCATTTTTAATTTTTTTTTTTTTTATAAACAAATAGAACTATTTTGCTATTAGGCTGTCTGTGTTCTCGTCTGGCACTTAAGAATAGATCACAGGTCACCTCCCGGTTCTGTTGGCATGAGGGTGGGTGGAAGGGAGGGAGTGAGAAGGGGTGCGTGGGGTGAGGTGGTCTGTCTTCCTGGGACACAGAGTTGGATGCCGTCCGTGTGCTGTGGGAGGGCACATGTGTGCATCCAAGAAGGCCTCTTCCTGCGCTGACCACAGGGACACGTGTCCCTATGACTGGACGAAAGGTCTCACACATGTCAGAGGGACATTTCCTCCCCTCCTCCTGTGCTGGCCTTTCTTACCCAACAGCCTAGATTCACAACAGTTCTGGGTCAAGGCAGGCCATGACGCTGCCCACGTCAGCTTGTCTGCTCAAGATGGAGCCAGTGGGTCCCCTTAGTGTCCTGGAGGAGTGGGTGCCGGGCCCCTTCCATGCCAGGCCTGGTGGCTAGGAAACCCATCCTGGCCTGGGAATGCTGGTAGAAGTCACAGATGTTGAGGAGGGCTGCTAAATGTCTTTGCCCTTGTTCACCCTCAGGTGGTCTTTGTTTAAATTCTTTCCAAATTTCTCGCTGAGCTGTTGGATCAGGTCTGCCAGCTCCCCAGTAGCTTGAGATTTCTCTTCCAGAAGCTCATAGCGCAGGCTGGAGATATCTTGCTTGATTTCCTTCAGTTCACCTGCAAGGACAGATGAGCTTGTGGTGAGCACGAGCAGCAGAAGGGGCTCCTTCCACATATGTTTGGGGCATGCCTCTTTCTAGCACAGTGTCGGGGCTGGGCCGGCCCATGGAGGGTAGAGGTGAAGGGACGAGGGTTGTGTTTTGACCTCAGTCCCACCTAACCCCTAGCCCTGAAGGACTCATCCACCCATTTAAAACCCTCTTCTTCCTCCTCCCATTCCTGGTCAGGCTGTTTGTGAAGGGTCTCAGACAGACAGGGAGTCGGGAGCAGGGCTGTGCCTTCCTAGTGCCTATCTCGTACCATGGTAGAATGTTGGCCTCGGAGCCACTAAAGGCAGATTTCAAGACTCCGGGCAACACCGTCATTAACTGGAACAGTCCTCATGACGCTCCCTGGTGTGTTCTGGGATCGTCGTCTGCAGACGAGAAACTCCCAAGTGGGAAGGGATGGGCTGGGCACGGGGCACACAGCAGCCTGATGGGAGCAGGGGTCCACCCCGACCACCTGTCCCACGCTGTGTCGCCAAGGCCACTGCCTCCTTCCCTAGCAAGGAGCCTCCAGAAGGGAACTTGCCCTGGTTTCTACCATGAACCACGTGGGTCAAATCCACCTGGGCCTCGGCAGTACCCATCTTTTCATGAGCTACAAAGAGGACTCAAAAACTTTCTATTCTGATATCATAGATACCGGACTTGCCCTCAAATGGGAGTCCGATGCCTGGGAGCACGTTATCCTATCTCTTTTTTCCATATGTGTTGTGGACAGAAAATTCAAAGATCTTAAAGCTACTAGCTGGCCAGTTTGGACAAACACATACATCCTCTGTTTCCTTTTTGTGGGGTGCTTTTCTGCACCCCGGTTGCATGGTATAATGACCCCTGGCAACCCCACCATCTGTGATGAGCTACATTCCTGACGATCACAAGGACGCACTGCTCGAGGTGACTGTCAGGCCACCTGGTGGTGTTAACGTTCCAGACCCCACAACAGGGGCAGCTAGACGGCTGCCGCTCAGCCCCGGGACAGTGTCAGCCCAGGAGTGAGTTCTGCCGCTGGGGATCTTCTGGATCAGGCTCCTTCTGGAACCTCCAGTAGGAAGCAGAGGGTCACTAAGTGACCAGGCTCTTCCAGTAGGTCCCTGTGGCCTGAGCAAGGGGGACACTGACTGCCTTCGTTCATGGAGGAGAGGGACACTGAGTGCCTTCGTTCATGGAGAAGGCTGTTTCCAGGTAGCAAATATTTGTCTTGTGTGTCTCATGAAGATTAATGACCTGGTATGAGGTAATTTGCTTTTCGCTTAAGAGTAACTGCTTAAAATGGCCTGGAAAATCACCCAGGTGGTGAAAATGATGTCGTCTGCAAACCTCAGTGTGCATCAGAATGACCTGGGGCTTTTATCAAAATGCCCAGCCTCCAGGTGCCACCCCACAGATGTTGACACCTTGGGCCTGGGTGCCGTCTGGGATGGGCATTTTTAGCACATGGTTCTGAGGTAGGGAATGCTTCCAGAAACACTGCAGGCTGTCAGGTATCTGACAGCCTAGAAGGGAGACAGGATGGTGGCAGGATCTGAAAGAGGGGTCCAGTCTGCCTCCGGCTCTCTGTATGTGTACCCGCGGAATGAGGAATTCTGGGTCGCCCTGCACCCGTGGGACACAATGGGGGAATCGAGGCAGCCATTGCTGGGCTAGGCAGGAGTATTACCAGCTCCCTGCCCCCAAAGAGATGACCAGGTCCTGATCCCTGGGGTCTGGTCAGCCGGTTTTGAACAGGGAGATGATTTTGGATTATCCAGTCTAATTGTGAGTCTTTACAAGCAGAAGAGGAAGGCATGAGAGGGTCAGAGGGACATGAGGACAGAACAGGAAGGACCGTGGCAGCTGGAGAAGGGTTCAGGGCCGGGGTGCTGGCTCTGAGATGAGGCAGCTGTAGGCAGCCGGGGGGAAGGTGGTGGTGGCCCCAGCCCACAGTCAGCGAGGGGACAGGAACCCCACCCCCACAGCCACATGACACCTCCTTCTGCCTACAACCGAACCAGCAAGGGAAGCGAGTGCCCCCAGGGCCTCAGGATAGGAACACGGCTTGGTAACCCCGGAGCCCACTGCCCGTCCGCACGAAAGGAACCCCTAGCTCACCTTCATTGACTTCGTCACTTTCTCTATCCACCTGGGCTTTCAGGACATATCTCTTTATGAGCCGCTTCATGATTTTCTGAAATGGGAGCACAAGGAAAGGGTCAGACAAGCCTGGCCAAGGACAGAAGCAGGAGCCCGCATGGTGTATGTATGCCCACCCCACTCCCGCGGAGTGCCTGGTTAGTGGCTGGGGGTGCCCCCGTGCCTGGTGCCTCTCTTCTCAGGGTGCTTCTCCTGTTGTGGGACCTGGGCCTGTGTCTGTTTAACTACTCCCCTAGAGTGACCCTACCCCGGGGACGTGAGACCAGGACACTCAAGGGGGAGAGGCCAAACCAGGGAGAGTGAGGGCTGCTTGAGGGCCCTATGCCTGACTCCACCCGGACATTTTTTGTCACCTTGTCTGGTCAAGGCCTCTCCTCGGGGCTTAGCACAGAGTCAGGACCAGGCTGGACAAGTCCACTCTACCTTGGAAAATTCCTACCAGAGGCAGAAACAGTTATGGGGGGACCTCAGGAGGTTTTGCCAGGATCCCACTTCCCTGAAAGCCTGCGTGCCTGTCGTGCTGGAGGGGAAGGGCTGGGCCTGCGGCTTCCGTGTATTATGCAGATACAGGCTCTTGAAGCAAATGAGGAGGTAGGAGTAAACACTTAAGAGACACCAAGAATAGAGCCAAGTTCGAGAAAGACAGCAGGAGGTGAACTTTGGATTTTGCCAGCTGGTCGTTGGAAGGTTCCTGGGCAGTCACAGGATTCAGAAATACTTGGATAGCTGAGATGCCGGAATCTCACCAGGGCTGAGCAGCTGGCAAAGAGGGAGGGATTCCCTGCTCCTTGCTGACCCCTTCCTGTCGCCTGCTCACACCTGGGGACTCAGGGGACAGAGGCAGCATTTTCTAGATGGGAGGGACATGAATTCTGTCCCTGGCTGTGCTGTGTGTGGTCAGGCAGGTTACCGAGTTTTCTCCAACTATGTGGGCTCAGGAAAAGCTTTTTGTAAGCCAAGGGAAGTGGATGGCTGGATGGCAAAGAGAAGGATTGAGCCCATTCTTGTCATCAGCTGAGGGTTCTCTCAGTGCCTTTGATGGCAAAGCCCTCAGCCCGGTGTCTCCAGGCTGTGTGACTCCAGGACTCTAACCAAACTCGTCAAAGGCCGTCTGGGGGGAGCCCGGTGTCACCTCTAGGCCACTGCTGCCCAAACCCCCTCTGCCCTCCGGTACTGGTCTCCTTGGCTCCGTGCTTTGAGTCATGATCTTATTTTGGCTGAACTGTGAGACAGCAAGTTGTCTTCATGCTGCCCTCTGTCAGAGAGGCCTGGGTCTTGCCGTGTTAGTGGTTAAACTGCGCTGCTAGATTTCTCCTTGATGTTCTCCTAGTCCCTAAGGCAGGTTACCCAAGTGGTAAGAATCAATGCCTTTCCTGGCACTCAGTAATGCTCTTTTCACTTTGAACTCCGAAACCCATACAAAACCAACTTTGACCTGAGCCAGTTTTCAGGGAAGAAGCCCAAAACCCCTAAAACCCAGACCACCAGGTATCTGGAATTCATCCTGAAGGTAACATTCAGGAGTATTCTGCAAGTTTTCGGGCTGAAGCAAGTCAAGGGGATCTTGTTAACATCTGTTGCCATTTGAAGGAAAACCTCAAGAATTAAGGGTTGTTTAGTTTCTGGATTCATCAGTTGAAGACTCTTTAAATATATGGGGTAGAAGTATAAGCTGGAGGTGGAAAGTGGAGAGTTCACTGTTCCGCAATGGTGCTGAGTCAAGTCTTTCTACAGATATGGCCGTGATCACTGTCTTACCCTGTGTTGTAGCACAACATGACTCAACCCCTTATTTTAAAAGAGTCCATGGTACATTTATTACTAATACACAGTGTGCCCCTCAAGCTCCTTTTGTTTTGAATAGGTGAGACCCTGCTCATAAGCCCCCTTAGTGTAGAGTGGCTCTCTGGGAGGAGGGGAGAAAGGGAGAAAGAAACAAGAAAACACTTATATTGAGTACTTCCTATAGACTGGGGTCCCCTTAGCCTCCTTGACAAAGTGACCTCACTGAATGCTTCCAGAAACCTGGTGAGCGTGGGGAGTTCATCTCCATTCACAGATGAGGACAGCGAGGCTCGTGTTGTGAGGTGACTTATCCAAGGTCACATAGCCAGGACGTGGCAGATCTGAGATGTAACCAAAGTGGAAACCAAAGCTGGGGCTTCTTCCAACCTTCAGGAAAAGGTCATACACAAGATGCTTTTGGGGGTTGGGATATAGGAACTGGTTCCCATTGGTCAGAGGGGCTTGGGCCGCTCATAGGTACCTACTTGTTCTTAAGAAAACAGTTTTCTATGCAGGCAGAAGCCTCAGCTAGATTTTGGAGGATGGATGGCTTTGTTCAGTTTTACCCCTTGGAGTATTTCAATAAGAAAACTGTTTAAAAAAACTTCCTTGGGGAAGAAGGCCACTGGCTTGTCACAGTCACGAGTGCTCACGGTCCATTCTTGAAGGCTGGCATGCCTCATCTGAGCTAAGGTTTGCACATCTGTGGCTCCAAGGGGAGAGGAACAAATGTTTGTTATTAAGCCCCTCACTATGCATCAAGATTATAGGGGCTTAATATGGAATAAGCAGGACCTCATGAGGACGGCAGACAGGCAGGGACTCGTTACCCTTCCTCCCACCCCCACTTCACTCCCAGGAGTGACAGATGTCTTCAAGGAGAGTTGTGTGACTGCCTAGCACCCGCTTAGAGACTCTGTGTCCTGATGGGCACCAGGTTCCCCTCCATTGAGTACGTGTTAGACAACCTGGGGTATGTAGGAGAAGATGCCGGTCTTGTCCCCAGAAATGCGGAAGTGGCTAGAAACTGCCCAAACTGCCCAAAGTTCTCTTTAACACAGATGCTAGAGGGGATATCTGTTTTCAGAAAAGATGGACATCAAAAGCCCCCCCCCTTCACTGTCTTTAAGATAGAAGAATGTTCCTTTGTGATCGGTTTGGGATGTCCCCTTGCTATCTTTCATAGAATTCTTTCACTTCAAGATGATAATAAACTTTCCCCAAGTGGATGTGTCCCCGTTGGTGTCGATTCTACTGACCTTGCCCTCCTGCCCTTAGCAGGTGCTGGAGATGAGCATAGCTAGTGACATCACTCAGGCCAAAGAACTAATACTGGAGGGGATGAGGGTGAGAGGCGTAAGGGATCGGAATGGTCATGACAGTGAGGTCCAGGGAAGGAGCCTCATGGTTCCCTTGCCCACATTCCCAGGGATGCTGGTGGTGCTGGGGAGACATAGAAAGCCTTTCTATGGAAAAGAAGCATCTCTCTGTGCAACCAGGGGAGCTCAAGATGTTGACAGAGAGGACACAGATGGGCTGTTGAAGATGGTCCACAAAGCAGAACCTAGAGGGAACAGTGTTGCCCCCCAGGAAAACAGAAATTGAGGGATGCTTGGAAGGGAGGGTAAGAAATGGATCCCAGGACATGCCATGTGTTCAACTAGGGTTTATCAGACACCAGAAATAGAAGGGATCACCGTTAGCGAGTTGTCTATCCTGTTTGCTTCAGTCTCTACAGAAAAGGCCACATAGAGCATGAAAAGGAGGACTGGGTTTGGGGAAGGGATTACACCCCAGATGCTGGGGCTGGTGTGATGAACAGACTGTGTCTGGATTCTCTGGTGCATTTGGGGTGCAGCTTGTTTGCTTTGCTAAGAAGGAAATGCAGCTCTTGGAGCGGGACTGGATGAGTCTGCACGCACCCCAGCAGACAGGCACCTTGGATTCTGGAGCAGGTCACAGGGTAGCTTTGACAGGAGTCCTTTGACCCCTTCATCAGTATCTTGGTTTTGGTTCACTGTTTAGTTTCACCTGAACCCAGATTGGGAAAAAAAAAAAAAATCAAACAAACAAAAAAACCCCCACAACATTGCAAAAGTAAGGGGTCGGTTTTATAAAAATAGCCATCAGACCCCTCACAGCCTAAGTTAAAGCAAAGCACAGAGAGCCTCTGGTCTGAGGAAACGGCCTTCCCTTACACCAGAGCACCCCCAGAAGGCAAAGCATGGACAAGCTGAAACACCCCACGCACTGAGTTTGAAAAACCAAACAGATCTACTGAAGAGACACAAAGGCAACGAGCTTAAAAACTCCATGCATGTGGACGACACTGGGATGCTACAGCATTTCTCAGAATGCTGACAAGTGTAAGGGACGTGTGTCCAGCCATCCGTCCTCAGGGAGGTGACGGCTCTGGGTGCGGCCAGGCGCGTAAGGAAGAGGAAGTGTGCCAGGCTCCTTCTGTACATTTGGAAGTTGCTTTGGGAAGAAAGTAGTGCAACTTGGAAGGCTGCCAGTGGGCCCAAGAAAACAAGAGGCTTTGCCAGACCCTTGCCCCAGTCCTTCATTCTAGAAGCTGCTTCTATACCTTGCCCCCTCCCCTCATGTTCCACAGACTCAGATGTTCTCAGGCAGGCAGGACAGGTTCTCCGCAAGGCTTGGGTGCCCAGGAAAGGTGATGTAGTAAGAGAGGACTATTCTTGTGAGTCAGAGAGAGTTCAACCAGCTGTGGACCTTTACCGCTGAGCCCCCGTTTTCTCTCTGTTTAATGGGGTTAAAGCTACTGCCTCTCCCTCTGGCGTTGGGTGAGATCACACCTGGGCTAGAGTCTAGGCTGCACCCCGCCATCCTTCATACCATCTCTTATTTCACTCCTTTCTGAGCAGATGATGGCTCAGGAAGATACCCAGACTTCACCTTGCAGGGCTGAGCCAGGGCATATGGGCAAATGCAAAAAGGGCTCTCCCTTCTTCGCTCCCTCTCAATCCTTCCCCTCTTATGCATACTGGCCCTGTTTCCTTCCTTCTTTTCTGTGACAACTGTTTGAATAAATAGCCCAGGGGCTTTTCTTGGTGGAATCACAAAATATGGGGTGAGCAGGCTGCCCAAGGTCGTCAGTAGCCCGAAGCCCAATACCACCCAATCTCTGTAATCACTGTGGGAAGCTTTTGGGGATGTTGATGGCAGCAGGGACCTCAGCCGGTGGTGAGGGAAGACAGAAATGGGATCACCCCAAGGCTGCTTTCGAAAACAGTCTTGTTCATAAAGGATTCATTCCGGGCAGAGGACATTCACCACATCATCAGTCTTCCTTTATCTCTGCAGCTGATTCTTCTCGAAACCCATCAGAGACTTGACCCTAACCCATGAGGGCTTTCTATCTCTTTCGTGACACAGATAATCTATACTTTTCTCTGAGAAGCTGAGCAATAAAAATCTCTCCACTGACGGAAGGATTTGTGCTGTAACATAACTCAAAGCAGATCAAACTGGTCAGGCCCAATTTTGCACATGATTAAATACAAGATTTGCCCGTTTCTAGTTTTTAGCCTGTGTCCTCTCATCAAACTCTAAGTACTTTGAGGGATGAACCTTTTCTTAATTGTGCGCTTAAATGCTCCTACCTGCATAGCTGGCTTCTGAAATATGGGTGGAGATACCTTTAGGGACCTACGCCTGGAAGATGCTAGGTCTCATTGCTCCGTCTGGGACAGCGGCAGTAGGGGCCATGCTCAGGACAGCTTCCAGTTCACCTCTGATAAGCACTGATCAGCATGGACAGAACTGCTGATCATCGAGAAAGGGAAGGCAGGAAACGAATGGCCTGTGCTTTTATAATCAATAACCTGAAGTTGCCATTTATCACTGGCTCATGGGCTGATTCAAACGGATAGAGAGGTGTGGCACTAATTTCCAAAAGCCACGCAAAGGACCGTAAGCATAAAAAGTCTTCTAAGGTTTATGTATAAGAACTGACTTTGGCAGGCTGGCATCTTAGGTCAGGGGCTCCGTGAAGACACCCACGTCCACCTGGTCGCTTCAGACAGACACCTGGGAGTCATGCTGGGCACCCGTCCCTGCAGAGGAGCATCACGCCCCATTGCCTGTCTGTCCGGAATGTATATTGAATCTGTCTGCTTTTCTCCCTCACCCTACTCACAGCCCAGTCCACGTCTCGCTCTCTTACACCTGGATGACTGTCCCCTGCCAGGCTTCTCCCCTCCCGCTTTTGTGGATGCCCTTTCCGTCCCTGGGAGGCCCCACAAGGCTACCTCCTTCTTTGAGGTTTTAGCTAAGTGTCCTGTCCTTGAAGTGGCTTCCTCTGATACCGCACCTAAGCAGGGACTCCCTCCTGTTCTCCATTGTTTGCCCCCTGTTGTTTCCTTCTTTCTCCCTTTATCAATTTGAGGTTACATATTTACGTGTGTGTTCCTTGTTCCTTGTCTCCATGCCTCACCGGCCTGGACGTGCTGCTGCGACAGGAACCCGTCTCCATCCCCAGGGAGTAGCGGTGCCTGGTCTATCCTTTGCACTCAGTGCATGTTTGTGGAATGAAGGAAGGAATGGAGCTGTGGGCTGGGGGGCCGACACAGCCCAGTTACTAAGTCCATGTCTGGAGAGCGCCCCCTTCTGCCCATGCCTGGGGAAGGGGTGGCTACCTGATATCGGGTGGGCTTGCTGAAACTGTTATTTGCTGTCAGGTTTTCAGAATTCCTCATCCCAGCCTGGTAGCGAGTCTTCTGGAAAAAAAAAACAAAACACCCAAATACATAATAAATACTACACACACACACACACACACACAGACACATGTTCATACAACACATATGACAGCCATCTGTGAACAGCACAGATGAGACTGCCCCTGAAAAGAGGCCCCGCACGAAGCTTATATACCCACTGCTGCTAGGCTTCTTAGAACACCGTTCTTAGGACCTTAGTTTTGTGGGATGACTACAGGTTATAGAATATAGTTTGGTCCACTTTGGGAAGCCCTGAGTTATAGTTCATAGGGGGTATCTTTCTTCCAGGGGCCTCAGAGATTCTCATATGCTACTAAACCTTGACAATCTTCGGGAGGGGGAGATGATGGGCAAGGGAAGCTTTCTTCCCAGAGATCATTCTCCAGGCACTTTCTGGGAAGAGCCATTCCTCTGTGGGGGCCCACAAAGTGGTTGCCTCCATGGGGGTGCGGCTCAGCCCCCAGTAGGGCCACCCCTGCAGGGAACTGTGGGGAGAAGGGCAGCTACCCCAGGCTTCCTCTGCTGGGGCTGCAGCTTACACTGAAGTGCCCGCGGATTCTGAAAAGCGGGGGCCCCTTGCTGACCTCCCTCGCATCAGCGGCACCCTCTGAATCAAGCACATCCCCCTCTCCCTCCCACTGTCTTCTCTGGTCCCATAAACCCCACGCCACCTACCCTGAATTTGGAATTCAGCATGCCCATTTCAAGGTCATTTTCACAGCTTTTGGCCTTGGATTTACAGAGTTTGATGAGGCACATCTTGATTCTCATTATGAGATAATAAAATGATTTAGGACTTGGCACTAGATTGAAAGGAGCAGGAAGAGTTCTTCCTTCATCAAAGTAAGACAGCCAGAGCTTTGCTCGGGCAAATTTCCACTCCACATCTGCATCCTCCTGTGGGACAAAGGGAAACAAACACACCATCAAAGGCCACAGTTGAACAGCGGAGTTCGGTGTGAGGGGCCGGGATGCAAGGCAGACTTGGAAACGTGACCAGCTGAGGGGCTGTGGATGTTATTTGCTGTTCACTATGGCCCCGGATGAGGAGTTTCTCTTGCTCAGACCATATGAAATTAGTCCTCCCTGAGATCTCTGCCTGACTCCGCGGGATTCATTTCTTGGAAAACCTCAGCCTGTTCCTCCTCCCTGACTCTCCGCTGGGTATTTTCACAAACATTTCTCCACGGGCCGCAAGCCCGAGAACTCTGCTCACTGGAACCTAATCCCATCAGCCATCTAGAGCTCTGCCAGTTCACGAATCACCACCACGGCATCAAGGGATTCATGTTCCAGAGCAGTGCTGCCCAGTAGAAATAGCAAGTAAACCACAAAGGTGAATCACGTAAGTAAATTTAAATTTTCTAGGAACCACAGTATAAAAGGGAAAACGGAACAGGGGCGGGGTTTTTTTTTTTTTTTTTTTTCCTTTTCAGGTTTTTATTTAAGTTCTAGTGAGCGAATGCATAGGGTAACGGTTTCAGGTGTAGAAGTTAGTGATTCATCAAAGCTTACATTATTTTAAAGTGTTATTTATTTACTTGAAGTAATGTCTCCACCCAACGTGGGGCTCAAACTCACAGCCCTGAGATCGAGAGTCTCACAGCCCTCCTGACGGAGCCAGCCAGGTGCCCCACAGAACAGGTGAAATTAATTTCAGTGATATCTTTTTTTTAATGCAGGAGATCCAAAATGTGAATCATTTCAGTGTGTCATCATTATAAAAATTCTTAAAGAGATAACTCACATTTTTTTCCCTACGGAGTCTCTGAAATCGGTGTGTATTGTATGCTTACAGCACATTCCCATGTGGACCTGACACATGTCATGTACTTAGCAGGTACACGTGGCGAGCAGCTCCCGTGGTATATCTTATCGCTGCGTATTTCTAATTAGCAAGCGTATTTCTGATTGGTCGGAGTGCTGCCACAGGGGACGTGAAGGGATTCTGCATGTTTCGTTTGAGAGAAACAGACCTGACTGTAGTGAGCCCCAGCCAGTCCAGCCATGCTCTTTTCCCTCGTAGCAGTGTGAGATTTAAACCCCACATCCATTACTTCTGACATGGTATCCGTGCCCCCTAAGAGGTAGCAGGTGTGTGTGGCTTTTATAGGTGGGCTCTTCAGGCTTCTATCCTAGTGGGGCGGTTTGAGAGCAGCAAAGAGGCATGGGGCTGGCCGTCAGACAGACCTGGGCTCATGACCCCTTACTAGCTGCCTGACTTCAGCAAGGGCTTTGGGCTCGCTCACCGGGAGATGGAGACGATGCCGCCTCCCTCTCGTAGCCTTGAGATTGGCACCGAGTCTGTGCTCTAGCAGAGGGTGGGTTCCGATCCTCACAGACACTAGCATAGGTCATATGATGAGAATGACATGAGTTCACTTAGTGTCAGACATTAGTAGGCCCTCAGTAAATATTATTTTTATCTCCATAACTTAACACAGTGCCTGGAGTTCAACCTGTAGTCACTCAGCAGACATGTGTTTAGTACCTACTCTCTGGTTGGCTTGGGCTGGGGGTAGGCACAGGGTTGACTGTGGACTCGTGGAGCACGCGGCCTGGCCCATGGCACAAATATGGTAAACTGTTCATCGCCTCGTCTTTCATCTGGAGTCGAGCTAAGGGCTACGGGGTCCTCTGGGTGTAGAGCTCCTGACCTGGCCTGCAGGGCCGAGGAGGCTGCCTGATGGCTGGTGTTGGAGCTGAGCTCCCCGGGGTGAGTAGTTCTCTACCAGGTCAAGTGTGGGTGGGGTGAGAGCGGGGAAGAGTGGGAGGTAATGAGTAGAAGAGGCAGTGAGAAGTGTAAACGGCTTTTCTGAGAAAGTTGGCAGGAAAGAGCAGGAGGGAAAGAGCTGGAAAGCAGGATCGAGGGAGGATTTTTTTAGTTACTTTTTTTTTTTTTTTTTTTAAAGATCCAGCATCTCATTTAAATGCTGACAGGAAGGGTGAAGCTAGGGGGTGGAGCAGGGATGATGTGTGGTGGCAGCTTCCAAGGACGCGAGAGGACAGGGAGCACATGGGCAGGGCAGCTCAGGTGGAGGAGGCCTCTCTCCCCCAAGAAGGGGGTATGGCCCTTGTAGAGGCAGGTGGGTCCCTGGATTTGGAGAGTAGGTGCTCTAGATCTGTTGACTGAAGAAATGAGTGTTCTCGCAGAAGATTTCACAAAGTGTACTTCATTGAAGTTCAGCGTGAGCCGGGGTACCTGGCACTGTCTAGTAGCCGTGTTCTGCTTCTCAGGATCCTTGCACACGCATTGTTGGTGAGATGGGGGGGAACACGTGCTCTCCCTTGAGGAGAAGCCCAGAGCCCTGAGAAGAGGTGTGGGCTGCAGTGTGCGCTCTCCATCTCGTGGCACAAGGCCATGCTGGGGTAGCTTGACCTCACAAGCACACGTGACGTCATGGCCATGCCTAATCCTTCCCCAAACTAGTGGGCATCTCTCCACACTAATCCCATGGTTTCCATGCCACGTTCATTTGGACCAAAGCACAATGTGCTTGTTAGAATGGGGCCGCACCCTGGGTGAGTGGTATGGAGACCTGCATACTATCCAGGCACCATCTGGTTTCTCTTACATTTGGGGAAACTGAGACCCAGAAGGGCAGGAAGGGCTGGTTGGCAACAGCTCACCCGCATAAGTGAGTAAATATGTACACCATGCAAACATATGCTCGTTTGTGGACAGAGTGCTGCATTTTCCTTTGGGGGGAAGGGGGAGAGTAGGGACAAGGCTCAGGCTTCGTGCTGACTCACCTCTCCCTTTCACCTCTTGCTGCTTTTCCTGGTGCTTTTCCTTCTTACAGGCCAAGAATACTACATTATTTCACCCCTCCTGCCTTGGCTCATGTTGTTTTTGTGGGGAGGTGTGTGTTATGAACCAAATGTGTCTCCTAAAATTCATATGTTGAAGCCCTAAACCCCAGCACCTTAGAATGTGACTGTGTTTGGAAATAGGGTCTTCAAAGAGGTAAGTAACGTTAAACAATGTTGCTAGAGTGGGCCCTGATCTGACATCAAGGATGAACTTATACTGAGCAGAAGAGATATCAGGGACCCACTCACAGGGAGCAAAGACCATAGGAGGATACCATGAGAAGGCAGCCATCTGACAGCCGAGGAGAAACACCCAGAAGAAACCAGCTCTGCCAGCACCCTGATCTGGGACGTCCAGACTCCAGAACTGTGGGGGAAAACCCAGTCTGTGCTGCTCTGTTTCCACAGCCCTGCAAACCAATTCTGGGAAGTCTTTAATTTCTTCTTGTTGAGAAATACGCTAGTGCTTGTTTCTTATAAAAGATCCAAGTACAAAGGTGTGGCAGCCCCCTTCCAAAGCTCTCTCCTTTAACTCCCTTCCCCAGAGGATGCTCAGGGTCAACCCATCAATGGTGTGGTAGCTTTTCCCTGCCTTTCTCTGCTTTTTCTTTCTGTACCTGCACATTCGCATTGTTATGTAAATAAGATTTTCCTAGGTGTGCTTTTCCACAACTTGCATTTTTTTCCCACTTAACGATGTCATAGAGATTGTGCGATATCAGAACAAACAAGTTTTTCCTCATTGTAGATGCAGTGTTCTCGAGTCTCCGTCAGAGTTTATTGGAACCCTCTGAAATCAATGGGCTATTTACACGTTTTTCCTTTAATGAGCACCTATGTAAAACCATACTTCTGCCTAGATCTATCCTAGGATTGCAACTGTTGAGTCAATTCAAAATAGGTTAGTGCATTTTATTAATCCTTAGCTTATTTATTTTATCTTATAAGAAGTGAAACAATAATAAGATTTAGAAAGCTTGAAAAGGCCTAAGGAGAAAGGCATTCTGCCCCTCCCTTCCCCCCCAATTCCCTCCATTCCCCCACCCCCCTTCTCTTCCACTCTCCCCTCCCCCGCCTCTGGACAGGTAGCCCTGCTGTGTTCCTTGTGGACCGTTTCAGAAATTTCTTCCTTTTCAAAGCTTAACCAATTAAAAGTGAGCATGTATGCCCTTTTTTTCCTTTGCTACACAAGGGAGAGCACACTATGAACACTGTTCTGCAACTTGATTTTTTTCATTTAAACGCTAACTGGCAGGTCTGTCGTCCAGAGTATGAAGAACATCTTTGTCCTTCCTGAAGTCGAGCACTGTTCTCCTGTTCAGATGCATCATAATCTGTTTCACTAGATTCCTGTGAATGCTCGTTTAGTTTGTTCTTAATTTCTTGTTCTTCCAAGCAAGGCTGTTATCAACAGCTTATGGCTTATGCATTTCAGATTTTGATAAATTGTCTCCTGAACTCCTCCCTGAGCTATTTGGCAATGTTGTATCACTCTTTGAATGGCCTTCAGGCCTCACCTCTGGAATCTTCTCTGCTTTTGTAGCTTGTGTACCTGGTGGGACTGCTCTGGTTGCACTGGGCCCAGGGCAGTGGAGTTTGCTCATCGATATATCTGTTTGTCTCAAGGAACTGAGTTGTTACAGGGCAGGGACTTAGTCATCTTTGTGTCACCAGTGCCAGGCATGGACGTTGCATACAGTAGGTATTTAATAAATAACATGCAAGAGACAAAGGGGATGTTGGCTGAAAGATACAGTCATTCTGATTGGCCATGGGCCACTGGCATGCTGTCTCGAGGAGATATGTAGAAGAGGAAAGATTTACCATCCTGATTCTCTCAGCTGTGGTTGGGCCACTTGGTGTGGGGGGCCACTCTGCCATGTGGCACGTTGACCAAAAGGGCTCCTGGGGGCAGTGTGATAAGCATGCTGGTTGTGTGCTGTTCTGACTTCACTTTTTTTTTTTTTTTGAAAAAGCGATAGAGAGAGAGAGAGAATCCCAAGCAGGCTCCCTGCCCAATGCAGAGCCCGACGCGGGGCTTGATCTCACCATCCTGAGATCATGACCTGAGCCAAGAGTCAGATGCTTAACCCAGTGAGCCCCCCAGGCACCCCCTGGTTTCACATTTAGTAACACAGGAGCTGCTAATGTCATTACTCTTGTTGCTTCAAACAGCCATGTAGATGAAACCAAGGGAGGGAGGACAAGTTCAGTGAGCTGACCTTACCTCAATCTCCTGATACGAGTTGTTGATCATGGCTATGAGCATATTGAGCAGCACTACGACCATGGTGACGTTGTAGACGCCGTAGAGGACGTAGCCGATGTTCTCGATGAACTTGTGGTCGTATTTCAGCACCACCGAGATCACTTCAGACAAGCCAAAGATGGACCAGAATAAGGTTTTAAAACTTTCTTCAACCCTGTAAGGAGAGACAGTCCCTTCAGGCAGTTTGCATCTGCTGACACTTTTCACAGGGAAGTCCCAGACTTTGGTGGTTACCCTGCGGTGGGGCTGGGCTGGCTGGCAGTGCCTGTCTTCTGAAATAATATTCAGATTTCTAGGAAGACTTCAAAAAACTAGCATAGAGGGAAGGCTCTTTCTTTTCCTTTCAGTCCATTTATTGGGACTCCTGGCTGTGGTGTCACTTTTATCTTGTAATTAATTAAACATTTAAAATGAACCAGCAGGTCAAATGTTTGTTCTTGTACGTTATCAGCCACGCCCTTCCTAAGTCTCTTGAGGATCTCAGACCACCCAGCCCCATGGGCAGTGGGGAGAGGATGGTGTCCCCGGATGGAAGCCGCATCGCTGGTCACAAGCAGGACCTTAAGCCTCACGACCATCTCCGTGCCAGGCTTGCTTATTACCTCCATTTACAGACAGAGGCATGGGCACTCAGAGCTTTATCCCCTCCAGTCACATCTGGCTGGAAAGTGGGGTGCAGACCCAGGCATGTCTAGGATCTCCAAAAGCAGGTGCTCCTAACTACTACGCTTCCCCACCCCCTGGCTCTGGGGAGTGAGGCCAGCCACACATCTCATATCCTTTCAACGAGAGTCGAATCATGAGCAGTGTGACTTTTGTGTGTCCACCTTGTTCAAATTCAGCAGGCAGTTGTCCACACTCGCCGCGCAGCTCACTCAAGGTAGCTACTGCGTATGCTGGCAGGGTAGTGTGTGGGGAGGTCTGGCTTTTCGGGCACTGCTCTTTGACTCTTTAGAGACTGTGAACTTGTCAGGATCCGCTAGCTTTAAGACGAAGACCCAAGCATGTTTTACCATCTGTACTTTGTGGCAAGGACCCCACATCAGGTTTCCAACAGAGAATCCAATCAGAAAGCTGGGTTTTGGTTGGGTGGTTTAGAACGCCCCCGGGCATCCGCTAATATCTGTATGGTTATATACAGTGTTTTCGGTTTGCATCCGGATTTGGGGTACATTATGAGACAGCACTTTCTTTTTTCCTCTTTAACATTTCATGTTTTCAGCACTCACCCACAAGTGGCCAGGTTTAGCTAGATCTCAAAAAAAAAAAAAAAAATACCAGCATTTCTTAAGGATTGGTATTTATCTGACAAGATGTACAAAAATACTAGCACTTGTCACTTTGGCTACAAAATCCAGCTCTAACTTGCGTGAATCTTCGGCTCTCCTGGGTGTGAGTACGTGTGGGCGTATGTGTATGTGTATGTCTAGCCAGCTGTTTGACTCAGTCCCAATGCATCTCAGAGTCTGAAAACTGAAAACTGAAGTGGGTTTTTGTTGTTATTGTGTGTTTCCGGTGTCTCTGAAAACTTTGGAATATTTGGAATATTTGATTCATTTTACTTTAAATAAGTGGGAATTTCTTTGGGAGTATCCAGCATTCCTCTAGAGCCCCAGCTCCTGATGCCATTCTCAGAAACAGGGGAACACACTGCCTTCTTGGGTGAGATCCATTTTGTGTGAAAAAGATGCCATTCCATCACTGGCCACGATTCTCTACAGGTATTGGCTTCTGTTAAGAAGGGAGCTTTTGGTTATCATCCTAGTGGAAGGGAACAGTGGCAGAGAGACTCCAGAATGGCCCCAGTCCCAAACTGGAAGGGGACAGCAGGATGTGATTTCTCTGACAGTTGTTCCCTTCCTAGCTGGATCAGCGGGAAACTGGAGGGCACAAGATCTGAGCAAGGGACTGGGCAGGCAGGCCCTGGTCCCAGGTGACGCACTTAACCGTGGACGCTGTACAAAACAGATAATGTATGCAGCTGAGTGATGCTTTACAGAAATTCATCTTCCCTTGCTTCCCTTGGAAAACCCCACAAACCTTTGGCTGACACAAATGGAGCAAGCAATTACAGAACTTTCAGGGAAAATTCTCTGAATTTTGATTAGGGAAAATGGCCTAGATTCGGAGTGTATTTTTTTTTTCTTTCTCATTTGCTTCTGGCTATGCATTTTGCCACTAAGCTCTGTTTTATCCTTGGTGGCTTCACTTGGGCATTTTGTGTAACAGAATAATCTAAAGAAGGCAGAGACAGCCCACTAAGCAGTGTGTGTTGCGATAAAAGAACATTCACAGATCCCTAAATGCATGGCTTAGCTCCCCCTCCTTTGGTTCCCCTCCCTCCACAACCACCCCTCCCCCACTTGGAATACGAATTCTTTAGCTTTGTTATATGGCTTCTGGACAATCTTTACACCTGTTTCATTTCTAGTCTATAGATCAAGGATTAACCTCCAGACCTGAATTTGGCTATGACCTACAGGAGTAACTAATTACAAGAGGCTCAGACTCACTCTGAGCCTGGGATTTCCAGAGTGAAAATGACCCCCTCCAGAGCAGTAACACATGCACCCAACTGGGCAGGAAGGGGTCTTAGCCAAAGTATGCATTTTTAATAATCTCTTGTAAGCTCTTTCAGGACTATCTATATCCCTCTGTCCTCTTATTATGGGGCAAAATGGGTCATCATAGCAAAGACCTCCTTTAAAGTAAAGCCAGGTCTACTGGCTTGAATCATCCTCAATGGCTAGACCCACCATTGATTGGGTCTTTCGTTTACCCCTCTTGATGTGATCTGGACTAACCCAATAGACTAATTTTGTTGTCATTGTCTCTCAGAAGGGACCTCATGGGCTGAGTTATGCACAGTTAGCTGGGCTAAATGGTAGGCAGTACAGAATTTTATCCATAGCTCCACCTATACAACTAAATTCTGAGTGGAATTGAAGAGCTCAATGTTGGAAAACGACGCAATAGAAGGCTAGACTAAAATATTGCTATTTATATAATATTAGGCTGGAAGAGGTTTCAGAAGCCAGAAAGGGAAAGATGGAGGGATTTGACCACATAAAACTTCACTCATATACAACAAAGATGTAATAACTAACAATGTAGGGTAAAAGACTAAGTGAGAAAAGAGTTTGTATCTCCAATACACATGACAGTGTCAGATACTGGGGGTCTTCTTATATAAAGAGATCTTATTAATTAATATGAAAATAACAGACATCTTAGCAGGAGGAAAAAGGGGGGAAAGAAACTTCTATGAAAACTTGATGCTTTTTAGGGTGACTAGAGCTCCATAATTAACTTGAAGTGTGTCATGCTAGTGGCATCCTCTCGTTTAATATGTGGTAGGAAATAAAAGAAACTTGTCCTCACTGCCCTGAGTGGGAAAAGGCTGTGTTACTTTGACCTTGGAACCTACCATAATATATTCTCAGAGAGAAGGCTGGCCTTGGAAAGGAGCCAAATAGTATGCTACTAATGCCAAGAGCTTGGGCACTGGAGCTGGCCTCAATATCTTGTGAGGTCACGATGCTCCCTGAGTCATGAATTAATTATCACCCACAATTTTCAGGAGCTATGGGACCCAGGGCATGGGGGAGAAGGCCAGTCACTGTGGAGGGTGGGTGCTGCCTTTTAGGAAGAAAGTATCTTTGGAACTGGCTTAGCTGATAATCACCATGAAGCTACTTGTCTCATAAAAAACCTCTACTGTCAACCAGTGGGTCTCAAGGCTAAATGTGAGGTTCTTTACTCAAAGGGATAGTGGTCACGGGCTCCACGTCCTCCTCCTAACCCCTCTGGCTACCTACAGAGTTAGTCACAGACTCCTTCAGCTGTGTCAGTCACGGGAAGCTTCAGGAACATAGTCGGAGGAGTGAGAATAGCACAGGTGCATGCCTGGGTTCAAATCCCAGCTCCACTACGACCTGGCTGTGGGCATCTGGCCATGTTACCAAACCTCTTTGAGTCTCTGTTTACTCACCTATGAAAGGAAATAGATGTGCCTTCCTAGGAAGTTGCTGTCAAGATTAAATGAGGTGGAGGTCCCACCTAAAGCAAACCCAGCAGGGTAACAGAACACTGAAAGCCTGGAGTAGGCAAGCCTGCCTGCCTGGTCTCACCCAGGATCACACCCAGCCCCGTGGGCCCCTCCAGGGCCGCCAGGCAGGGCTGAATGGAGCTAAATCATTCAGATGCCATTGACCTCACTGAACAAGCCGATCTTCCTTCCCACCTGCAAAGATCATCACAAACCCTTGATTTTGTGCAAATCCTCTTTCTGACTTCTCCAGCCCAGGCAGTCTTGTGACATTTGACTCTTGGCTTGTATGTGGAAGGGACTGGAAAGTGGAGTCAGTAGGCTGCCCTAGCCTAAGCAGTGCTCCTAGTGAAGGAAGAGAGGGAGAGCTCCTGTGAGTGATGTTGAATAGGGCTGTGATTCACACTGCTCCCACTGTGCGGGGGTGTGTGGGGGGAGAAGGTTGGGGCTGATCTGTCAGGCAGAAGGCGGGGACCTGGTAATGAGCGCTCTCCCAGGCCTGTCTCGCCTGGATAATGGGGCTTTAATAACACGTTGCCCGAAGAGGCGGTTGTGTATGGGTCTCAGAGAACAAACTGATCAACAAGGAGAGGGCTTGGGGGCAATTGTTAGGAAAATTGCTGCTGCTTCAGAATGCCATAATGCCCTCCCCCTGGTGTGGGAACTCTGCCTCCCCACTTCCCCCTAAAACAGTTCGATTACCTACCCCGATCTGTGCATAGCAGGCTAAAATTAAGAGGGAGGCTAGCATCCCAGCATCCAGGCTGGGATGATGGAGGACAGTGCTTGAAATATACAGAGACCCCACCAGAGCCCCAGGGTTCCCTAACGCCTGGACCCGCAGACCCAGAGCACCCAGGCCGGGCTCAAAGGGTGGCACAGAGAGGCAAGTGCCTGAGGAAGCCTGAGGCTTGGCTTTTGGGCCCCGCAAGCTTGTGTTCCCTAAAGGACCTCTTGGCTTATCCCGGCTCCTAAATGAGGAGTTGGATTCAGTGTGTCCAGAAGGAGAGGAGGCTTGCCCCCAGATCAGTGCCAAGGAACAGGGGTGCACAAAGCCTGTGCAGCCCAGATTTATTCCTTCAGGGATGCCTGGGGACCCGCTCGCT